ACCTCACAATCATGTTAAAGACATTGCCAAAGTTAAGCTACGATCGCCCGAAATGGCATTTGCGCCATGAACGAACTCACTAAAGCCAGCGATCTGTCTCATATCGGGATCGTTGCAATGAGAAAACTAGAGAAATAGCTGTTCAATTTCGGGCGATCCTCTGCACTTCAGAATGACAGTTGGTATAGTTCGGAGGGCCTTAATACATTATTGTGGCATCGTAGTAGGCTTGCACGTAATTGACAAAAACCAATTCCGTAATTACGGCAAAATCAATTACGTAATGACCCCGTAATTGCGATATTTTTCCGCACATTTAAACCTATCATAACAACCAATTGAATCCACTTTTTTTCCGAATGGGACATTGAAGTTGGGTTTTCCTATTCTTGGCAGTACTACACGCCGGCGGCAGATGTTAAAGACAACTATCAAGGAGTGAATTCAAATTAATTTTATTCTGATTTTTATCTTTTGTGTTAGCTTTGGTTTTTCTTTATCACCTTCGCAAATTAACCGTCCCATTTTTGTGCGATCAATTTTATTTTATCATTACCGACACTGGTATACGGATATTTATGGAAACGACAGTTTTTTAAAACCACCTGAGTACTGAATAAAAATTACGGGTTTCTAATTTATTAACCAACGACGAGCGTATTTTCTCATTTGATTATACTTGCGATTTCCTCGCGACGAAGACTTGTTTTTGCAGCGTTTTCTGCATTATCCGACATTACTGCCTTGTTAGCATTTTTATAATAATAATTATTGATGTCGACTTATTGACGATATTCCTATTACCATGCTTCATTTTACATTCAATCATTTCGCGGACTGAATGTTTATAACATTATTTGCGATAAATTTAGATCAAATATTATTTATTTGCGTATAATTTAAATACCGAACTTATATGACATGCCTTCTCCGAAAATACAAAGTTATATCGCAAAACAATGCATTTTGTGACATTTATTTTACACTCACAACATTTATTTGCTAACTCAAGTCGGCGATCCTATCGGCCAAGATTGACAAAAGTTTGGTCGAGTGCCGGTGGTATTCAAGTCGACGATAAATCAAAATAAGTTGCCGCATTTGGTAAGACAGTTAATCATATATGGCCGAAATATTGAGAGGAATTGTGAAAAACATCATGAGCAAGGCCAAGTCTGGACTGATATATAACGATAAAACCGTTAACAGAACATCAAGATTTTGTAATAGAAAATGGATCTCGCACAGAATAAACACACAGGCTCATATTCGATTATATATGATAGCAGTTAAATTTTCAACGGTCCGCGAGGAATCCGTCGTTTTGGTTCATTACGCAATCTCTCTTTTGTCGTCATGTTGCTATTTGATAAGCGCGACATTAATTATCACGGCGAGGTATTGGCGCGAGTGATCAATCGCTCTTTTCGCTTATTTGGTTCCAATTCGTCGCGAAATAAAGAATGGTTAAGCATTGCTAATCCACACTTGGTGGGGAATTCCCACTATTCAAACGCGTGACTATAAAATAGAAACGGAACATATATACCATAAGTAACGGAAAACTGGAACAAGTAAATAATGAATAAAAGTAAAATGGATACAAATGTTTGATAGACCATGTTTGATGGATTGATCTCCTGCGTTCATTAGTCATTTCACCCGAAGAAGTTGAAACCGGGCGTGTTAGCGTCCATCTATCTTAACACAATTCTTCCCCCTATCTACGGTTATTATGTACATTGGCCGTGGCCATTCTAGATAAGATGCGAGAGAAGTTGAAACCAGGTGTGTTGGCGTCAATCGGTCTCAACGCAATTCTATCCCTTATCTACGGTTAAGTTGCGGGAGAAGTTAAAACCAGGTGTGTTGGCGTCAAACGGCCCTACTCAGTTCTTCCCCCATTAACTACGTTAATAATTTACATTGGCCACGCCAGATAAGTTGATAATAGGTTAGTAAATGGCAACGCGTCATGCCTTCCTTCACCTACGTAACAAGAGAGAGAAAAACGGCTGCGAATACCGGAACTCTAACTTCTTCTACTTGTTGAGCTTTCATTTTCGCAATCGACGAAATTGACTGCTTTGAAGAAAGCTCATTTCAATGCAATAATTACGACTTTACGTAATTCGTAACTTCCCTTCCGTAACTCCAAATAATTACGTAATTACGTAAATCCGTAAATTACGTGCAAGCCTACATCGTAGTGACGTAATTTTTGAATTGCATCGTCAGGTGGGGGTTAGGAATAGCATATGCAAAAATGATTTTTCCACGCCACATACAAATACTTACATTGTGTTGTGAACATTGTCCAGTATTTTATAACCCTTCAATATAACTGGACAGTAAAACTGTTTTTCTGTTGGTGAGTTAAGCACCAATCTGCGGACATATTGTTGATATTCTGAAAAATAAAGTCGCATTTTAGCGTTAATAAAAAGGTAGCAGCAATCATTTTGAACAACCCATTAACTGGAATGTTGAAATAACCTGTGATTAGTAAATTGGGTCCAGAAAAGCGACTCAATATCCAGTAAATACGATATGTTTGCCTGAACCTATTGTTTTTGTCTCAGATGGTTTCATTGATGTAAAAAATGGCACATCAAGGTCAACAACAAGAGGGAACTAATATTGTGAACATCCAGGGTGAGATTTCATTCAAATTATTTCAGTATTATTCGGTGTCTATAAATTTGAAGGAATATGATATTGTGAAGAACTTTGCAACTCGTGCATGATAATTAATTTGAATATTGAACTGAATGGGGAATAATGAAATGCTAAATACCTCGAAGTCTGATTTATATGCGCTCAGTCCATTTTGCTCTGCAAGAACTTTATTAAAATAAAATTTCTGTTTCATTGAAAATTATAATTTGAATCAGGAATGTTCACATATAGTTTTAAAATATATGTACTCCTGAAGTATGTGTACCAAGATGGCGGACACCTAAACGTAGTATGTGTACCAGGTTAGGCCATAATTTCAAGTACCGGTACAAATACTACGGGAGTCACTTGGCTAGTCCCCGAACTCGTAATAAAACTAAAATAAGGAAAATTGGAATAAAATTATGGCCTAACCCAACCTGATACACATACTATGTTCAGGTGTCCGCCATCTTGGTACGCATACTTCAGGAGTACCAAGATATATTCCTTGTAGGAAACCTGATTCCATAAAATATCCGGATAATAAGGATTTAAACAATAATTTTCAACGAAACATAGATTCTAGTTTATTCTTCAGTGAATGAAGATTGATTTGACTTTTTTCAGGCTCGAATATTAATGAAGTTCATGGCGAAGTGATTCAAGTCGATAACATCCAGCAAGCTCAGGCAGAAGTAATTCACGCAGGCAATATTCAGCACTTCCATTTGCATTATGACAATAATGGTATGTTTATTTTACTTTCTCGGGCAATTTGGTAACAACTGTTTCATTTTGAAGGTAATTTGTTTGACTTCGTGACATGGCAGGAAGAAATAAATGTTTGGTTAACATCTTATTATTTTAGATTTCACAGTTTTAAAGTGAATGAAATCCTTATTAGAAGTTTTGCGCCTTCCTTTAAAACTTACCAACTAATTATTTCTAGCTGCTCCTCCTCCAGTCGCACAACAACCTCAAGTACAAGCTGATGCAGGGTCTGCTGGGAATATGCAAGAGGAAATACCGTCAACATCAGGTGAGAGTCAAGGACGATATCAAGTATTTTTATATGAAAAAATAAATTACAATCATTCATCCAGAATTCATACAAACAGCAATTCATATGGGCATTAGCTGTGTAAAAACGGCTCCTGAAACTCAGATTAAACCGCCATGCTTGTCTTATTAAAGGTCTTTATGAAAAGTCAAATATATTTTTATCCTTTATACACCCTTATGACCATAATAAATATGTTATGAGTTATGACCTCCCTAGTAATTTTGAAAATACCTGGAGCTTTGGACAGTTGTGTATGGTGTTTCTTTCATCGGGACAATGTGAAACTTTGTTTTAGCACTTCTTTTATTCTTGATTGGCCACCTTTTTTGACATCTATATGTAGTTTCTGACAGTTTTGAATTAGCTTACTCCGATTCGAACATTTCCAAGTGTAAAAGGGGTCACACGGTAAAAACTTTGCGAGGAGTTAGCCTGGTTAAAAAGTTATTGACTTCCTGGACCTACTATACATAACTCTCACTAAATATGTTATGTTCTCTCAAACAGGCTTTATAGCTTATTAAAAAATTTCGAGGTTTTTCCCCTCTAAACAACCCCCACAATATTCAGCCACATGTTTTCTAACAGCTGCCGTTCACATCACCCATACCCAAAATTACCATCACCCAAAATTAATGAATGCAACCCCCCAATTTGACGAATTCCTTTACTGATAAAACTGCTTATGAGTCATTATTCAATAACAAAGCCTCCTTTTCAAACATTTACTATTTCAAAACTACAGTAAAATAGCCTGGTATCGACTCAATCAATCAAATCGTAAAGAATGACCTATTTTCAGTTGCTGCCACCTAGTGGCAGTGCTCTCTTTCCTTGTTTTGATTGCACTTGTAAAAGAGAATTGAAGAGAAACATTTTACTAAGCATTTGTGTTATATATAGAATTGCCAATTTCAAGTTTACCACTTTAACTATCGCATGCACCCATTATCGTATCCCCTCGTCTCTCACAGGAATGGTTTAGTCGGTTGAAAGGTGTGAGTGAATGTGATAACTAAAATAAATTTAAAATATGAGGTTAATTAGCAGAAAGATAACACGACAACTGTGAAAAATCATAATCATAAGCCAAGATATCAAATTAGGAATTCACTTTTCAATTGTTCTTTTTAGATATTGTAGACGAAGTAAATTTGGAAAAAAATTGCCTTGAGTTTGAAAATTTGCCTACCTTTGATATAGGCAACGTATTCCACAATATGTTTCTGTGCAATGATTATTTGTCTTGCAACAAAGTATTTTCATTTCTATTCAGGTTCTGCATCTCGTTTACAAAGCAGAGAACGACGCAACGTTGACTTAGAATACAGCAATCAAGATTTGCTTGTGGCAGGTGAGTGCACTTATAATCTGTCCTGATATAATCATTGATTCCCATTTATTTGAAGTCTCGAATGTTTTTATATGACGCTTACTCGTGTCTTTTGCTCCGAACACAGCTAATGTACAAGCAGCGGTACTCCCGTAGTATGTGTACCAGGTTAGGCCATAATTTACTCAGATTTTTGCTTATATTTGTTCTATTTCGAGTTCGGGGGCTGTCTTTGTTAGCCAACTGAATATACCCCCTGCCTATAGGCTTCCGTCCCTTTACACAACTTGATGTAAAATAGGGAACAAAATTAGTTACCTCCATGTCGGTACACATACTACTGGGGCGACCAAGCAGCCAGTGATATGTTATTTTTGTAAGGACTGGAATCTTTCTGGTCCTGATTCCCCCCCCCCCCCAATTTATTACACCTTGGGTTAGGTGGGGGCATGGGGCTTCAATCGCTAGGAACCAGGAATGTGCAACCTGCGGCCCACAAGAACGAATTGTGCGGCACGCATGGGAATCCCAATTTTGAATGGCGTGCGGTCCGCAAAACGAGTTTTACTGCAGTTCAATCTGGTAATTCCAGTCACTTTGTGTTGCCAAGACTATACCGGAGTCCAATTTGGTATCTATGCCTATGACAATACATTGCCCTAACAGCTAGCTTGTACAAAGTGAAAAAATATGTCATAAGATCCATATCTGAAGCTTGGTACTCCCGTAGTATGTGAACCAAGATGGCGGACACCGGAACGTAGTATGTGTACCAGGTTAGGGTTAAGCCATAATTTTATTCCAATTTTACTTATTTTAGTTCTATTACGAGTTTGGGGCTTAGCTAAGTGATACCCGTAGTATTTGTACCTAAAACTATGGCCTAACCCTACCCTTTTACACATACTAGGTTCCGACGTCTGCCATCTTGGTTCACATACTACGGGAGTTCCCCAAAGTTTTTGTGCCTGCAACTATTAGAAAGCCTATGTTGAATGAAAGTGCAGCTCGCAGTTTCACCCACTTATTTGTATCTGGTCCTCCTGTATTGAAGGTTGCACACTCCTGTGCCAAGCCATTGCGTCGCCCAATTGCTACGTGTAGTCAATGCGAAGGCAAATACCTAAACTGTATGGTGTCTTCTTAGATTGATTTTTACTTTACTACAACTTTTGATCGTAATGTTTGTTTTTGATATAATCCTTCAACTTAGAACAGAAGATATTTGATAGATTAGCCATAACTATCTAGTCTGCCATCTCTCAATATGAGTTACAGCCAATAAATTGTTATTTATGTGTACGAAATCGTTACTTATGTGTACATCTATCTTCCATTAAGGTTCTGCATCATTATTACGAACAGAGGAACCTACGAATATAGAAATTAAAGAATCAAACATTAACATTATTGGAGGTAAAAGCTTGAAATTTATGTCTGATTGTGCTAGATTGTGTTGTAACCTGAGTTTAAGTTTATTACTTCGCAAGCGAAAGCATGAGTTCCACAAATACTTGGCGACTTTAATTCACTTAAACGTTAGCAGCATCTCAAAGCAGTTCACAAATTATGAAGCACCAACAAAACATGACTCAGGTAGAAGCATGCCTATATGACTCCGCAGAAAATTGTCGATGGCAGTAGAACATATGCAGCGAAGTCTGAATACCAAATACAATAAAAATTACCACAAATGGTAGCTTTGTCATTTCAGTTTTATACTATCATTGAAGTTTGTTTAAATTTCTAAGTCATTTTTACTTACCGTATTTTCTCGAAATTACGCCTATCTCGCGAATAAGCCGACTCCCTAATACCAGCTTCAAAATAGTGAATTTATAAAAATTCCGTTTCTACAAATCGTAATGGAAGACAGCACTTTGCGGATTACTGTCAACATAAAAGGAATTAAATCAGCGCCGACTTGAAGTACCGAATGTATGACATGAGAACATTTTTGATTGAAAATATTTTACAATCCTTATTTTATATTAACGTAGTCGAGATATCCTGAGCGCAACCGCAATAAATTTGGTTATTTTTCGCAAGTCTTCTCAAACATGATTTGTGTAAGCTTCATATATGGGCTGATATATTTTATAATGTATGCCAAAGTGTCTGCCGATTATTTAATTGACTTTGTATACCAGCTGTTATTTGTGTTAATCCTTTAAAAACAAAAACGTGGGAAGCACTTCCTGTCCGATATCGGCACTTCAGAAAGAAAACGCTACCACGAGATAACGTAATTGATTTATGACCCTTCCGTTTTGCTGATTCAGGAAAAAAACGGAAAACACAGCTGTTGCCTAACCCATGGACGTACAGCAATATTTATCACACCATATTCATATGTTATTTCAACTTTTCAGTTAAATGGTTGTTCAAAATAATTGAAATTACAGTTTTATTGTTAAGAATTAATGCTGTGACCTATTATTCTACCTGATTCTTACTTGTAAATTTATGTTAATAACGTCTATATTGCTTTTCAATGCGCGGTGATTTGTATTAATGAGGGGATAAAACAGAAGGGATCAGCATAAAACAATTTCTTTTAAATCGAATGTTGTATTAACACATTCTTATAAATCGCTGATTCGTAAGTTGCTATTAAAAGGATTTTCAAACGTCGTAGAAGGAATGTCGTTTTGTGACATATTTACAAGCTCCATTATTTCGATGTTGCTCCGTAATGCGATTTGAATAATTTTATTTATCATTTAATTTTAAATATTGTGTCATCACCTCAACAGCATAAGCGATGTCATGCATATGTAACGGTAAATATTTCAATTATAACGGAGATGAGAGTCTTTATCAGCGCAACTGAAAAGGATAACATATCGTAAAGGTGATCAAAATGAGGGCGCCGTTACTTGCGTTGTACCGCGATAGTGCACTAAATGATAACGTTTCACCACGAAACGCTGGCCGTAAATCGACGCCAATCAGACTGTACAAGCGTCACGTGTTTAACAACCAATCACAGACTGTATGATGAGACAATCACACCGGCACAAGCGATTGTGTGTGTGCGTTCTTTATCGTGAGAACTTAGTGCGGTTTGAAGCTTTTGGAATTACCGGCAAGTTAGCTAAATGTCAATCTCGTTGCGTGATCAAAGTCATGCGCGAATGAGTCGATGTTTTTATGCAATCTGAGTTATGCGAGTATAAGCCGCCCCCTTTGCTTGGCAACTTTTTTTTTGTGTTTTAAACTCGGCGTATGTGCGAAAATATACGGTACTTGCTTTCTAAAGTCCGATGTATAGCAGGTAGCAGCATTGGTAATTGTTACATCTCGCTTAGTCTGACCAGATAACTGTCAGTTAGTGGAATTTTTACTTTATGTTATGCTGATGAATACTCTTGTTAATATTGTAGGTGAAGGAATGATAACCAAGGGAGAAGGAGCAAAGACAATTATTCGTGACAGCGTCGTTAACATCGGGGAAAGATCACGTGATGGTAAATAAACAATTTAATTTGAACAAATTAAATGACCAGTCAAGATTTTGAAATATAATATGATGCATTCAAAAATAAAATTGGTTTTGACTCCTGGTTGACAAATATGTTAACTCTGTATTCCATCCTAAAGTGGTTATGCCCTTTAAAATAATTATGTCTTTTTTAAAGGGTTTTGTTCCTACTAAACCCCAAGAAAAAAGGTTCTTCTCATCCCAGGCATGCTATGGTCATGAGGCTAAAGCCCATCCTAAACTGGCCACACCGCTTTGATAAAGTTCCTAACCATTTCTAAATTGCTGTATGCCAAGAAAAGTTTTGTTTCTACTAAGCAAGCTATGCATTGAGAAAAAGGTTGGTCATAAGGGTAAGGTCCATTGTAAACTGGCTGTGGGCCAAGGAAAAGCATTGTGCCCATCTCAGGCAAGTGATGGTCTTTTAAAAAAATTAATGTTACTTTCATAGTAATTTATATTTATGACTTCAGGTGCAACAACAGCACAAAGAAAAAATGAATTCGCTGATGCCAGACTTGCTTCAAATGATTTACCTTGTCCAGTCTATGAAGAGACGCCCCCTCGATTAGGTGTGTATATTGATATTTATCGGATGTGTACCGGGCCCATGGGTCTCAACTGTTGTTGTGACAAAATTGACAAAAAGGAGAATTTTTAAATATGACATTCGACTTTTGTGTTTCTCATATTCAAGCATTGCTTTTTTCAAGAGAAAATTAATAGAGCAGTTAGTCGAAATGAGCAAACTTTCTATTATTTTAACTTCTAGAGTCACTTGTCATATAAAATTTGATTGAAATGTAGTTGATGTCATAGTTATCAAAATTGTTATTTCTTTTTTAAAAATGTAGTCATTCGAGCGTAACCTTATCTAGTAAATCTCTGTTAATTCCAAGGGGTGATCTATGGCAAGAAAAAATTCTTCCAGTACTTGTTTTCATACTAACGAATACAAACTTTCATTACATTAAAAATAATTTGCGTATTTTTTTTTTAGGTGTCCTACAACGTGTACGGAGAGCCACTCGTAAAAGTAAGATATTTTTTTTGTGTATGATGTTGGACTGTCGGTTACTTTTTGTATATTAATAGTTTTCAAAATAATAACCGGACATATTGATTTGAGAACTGCCAATTCTACTTGTTTTTCGATGTAAACATTCATTTTTATAATGACACCGGACAAATACTTGAGCCTCGTCAAATGCTTAATATTTTTTGTTTTAATAAACTTGCAGTTCTTGATAATTAATACATTATTGAATCGCTCACAACTTACTTTTTGAATCAGCAGAATCTGTATATCACCAACAATTTCTCACGTATTAATTAAAGTCAATTGCCCAGTGTATTTTATAAAATTCTCTCACAGTAGTGGTAGCTCTCATGAAGTGGTAGTGAAAATTGAGCGTCAAAAAAAAGTTTCTTTTCTTGTTTTGTTTCAACAATAAATCCCTCAAATGTTGATTTATCAAGGTCACGTTTATTCGCAAGATTGCAACACACAAAACTTTTGCTAATGACTTCACCATGTGTTTTCGAAAAGTATGTAAACAAAGATGGAAAAAAAATCCTTTGCCACGTGTCTATAAACTCTTTCGCTTTGGAAAGATGTTTGCATGGATAGGGGCGCAGCCATGATTTTTGAAACAATGGGCATGATTATTGTGGAATCAAAACGGTGTGCAAATAGTACAATTCACGGCACAGTAAGGCGCTTGAAGAACTAAAAATTGTGCGTTCTAAAATTGTGTGTCGATCATAGCGAAATGCTGTTGAACGAATTCCATATTTGCGAGTAGCTCGCCACCCTTTGTCAGACGTCGTTGAGTAAATATTTTGCTCATCCTATTTCAAGCATCTACTATACATTGACCGTTTATGCTTGGTCAGCGGTAACGATATCACATTGTTCATTGTTTCATGAATTAGATAATTACTTGGTGCAGCGTAATGTGTTAATCAAGACAATTTTTTTCATTGTCGTTGAATACAGTATTTACGGTACATGTGTCGCGATTAGTGGTGACAAATTTTTTTTAATAAAATAATTTGAATATTTCTAATGAATACCAAATATTCTAATAAAGAATGTTGTACCGAATTTGTCATTGCGTAAATACTCAGTGTTGCTTTGAGATAAAATACTGATTAAATAAATAATAATAAGATTTCTATGGGTCAATAATATCAGTAATAATACTCAGTGTTGCCTTGAGATAAAATACTGATTAAATAAATAATAATAACATTTCTATGGGTCAAGAATATTTCCCCTAAAATATCATGAAGTTTCATAGAATAAGTTATTATTCATATATGGTTTGTTGTTTCTAACGGAGGTACTTTATTCGCTACCTTTATGCGCTACCTTAAAAGGACATTGTGGTTTGTTCTAAGCAGAAGATGGAACGCTATTATGAATATGGTTAAGACACGACAAGTGTGTAGAGATTTTGGCTTGCTTGTCAGATATCAAAAAAAACTCAAATGAAAGTTAGAATTAATGAAAGTTAAAAAGCTTGAATTTTAGCGATCCGATGGCCACATACTAAATATCTCTGTATATTATGATAATTTATTTTTGACATCATTATTCAACTGGTAATTTATTCGAATTCAAACCTTTTTCAGGAAACCGTGCAAGAAAATTCATCAATTACTTCAACAACAGGACCTGGGAGCAAACCAAAGTTAAAATCACAGAAAATTACGAAGAAGCAAAACTGAAAGAACCAGACTTTGAAGTGAATCCTCAAATAAGAAAGGTACCACGCTTCTACCGTGGAGAAATGGCCCCCAAAGTTACGGAATATATTTTGGAAACTGGATTTACTGTTAGAGCTACTGATAAAAAAGTTGGGGAAATTATTTCTCTGGATGTGCTTGTGGAACATTTGAGCAACAAAGAATACAGATACATCGCCATACTGGGTCAGGCGGGCAGTGGGAAGTCGACAATCATGAAACGTCTTGCTCGAAGCCTTCTAGTTGCCAACAAATTAGTCGAACAAGCTCAAATAAGTGAAGGATCAATGGTTTGGCTATTTGGTAATACAGGACGTCGATTCAAATTTATTCATCACTTGAATATCAAAGATATCCTGTTTTTACCAGGAAACAGAGCAGAAGAAGCCATAAGTCCATGCGAATTACTTTTTGGAAAATTAGCTTTTGGACTCGCAACACAAGATGTGGGAGAAGGCTACGAATGGCTGCAAGAAAATCAATCAATGTGTATTCTTTTCCTTGACGGTCTGGATCAGGCAACTTGGAATCTCCTTGGAAAATACAACAAGATGAAGTACACCGATAAATCGAGCACAGCAACAATCATGTGGAATCTAATAACAGGCAATCTCTTTCCCAGAATGACGATCGTGATTTCTTCCCGTGAGCACAGAATAGCACCCCTTCCTTTAGAATTAAGGCCTCAATTTATAACTGCCCTTGCTGGTTTCACTCAAGACGTCATCAAGAGGTTGTTTATTGCAGTTGTCGGGGACGACGGTGGAAAAGCTTGGGAAAAATTAACAAGGCAGTCACCCGCACTCATTCCATTATCATCTGTTCCACTTTTCCTAATATTCAATGCAATCGTTTGTAAGTTCAACCCAGAGAAACTACCAAGTACTATGACAGAGGTAATGCTACGAATCCTTCACATCTTCATGCGATCCGATCACACACATGAAAGGAAACGGATTGAAGAAATACTTCCAAACTTGATGGGAATGTCCTTCGAAGGCACAAAAAAGAAACGAGTCATTTTCACGACTAAAGATCTCACAAAATTTCAACTTCAATCCAATGAAGTTTGTGACATTATTATCAAGGTACCTGGGAAAAACATGTTTAACCAACATCTCATGGAAGGAGACCATCTGATGTTCTTCAGCCATCAAGTCCTTCAAGAAGTTTTAACCGCTCTCTATATTTCAAACATGGATTCTACCACGTTTCGCACATTTATCGAAACTGAGTTTCGAGATGATCATTGGGCAGTTGTTCGCCATCTATTGGGTGGAATTATTCTGAATCCTGATATTGAAAGTAGTCTCGTAACAAACTTTTCTCCTGGTAAGTTAAATGTATTGTTATGTCTTTTATACCATATTTGAATTTGTTCGACATCTAGACTTTCATTGCTTTGAAAAAAGTAGACAAGACTGATTTATTGGATAATCCCGGAGCATGTGAATCAAGATGGCGGACACCGGAATGTAGTATGTGTACCAAGTTAGGGTTAGGCTATAAATGTATCCCAATTTCACTTATTTTAGTTCTATTACGAGCTCGAGGACTAGCCAAGTGACTTCACTAGTATTTGTACCTCAAATTATGGCCTAACCCTGACCTGGTACACATACTACGTTCCGGTGTCCGTCATCTTGATTCACATACTTTAGGGATACCAATTATTGTGTATTGGACTGGCGGAGAATCAGGCCTGTAGTTATGCAATTTGTACTACAACTATGGCCAATTTAGTATTCCGTTTTCCCCAAATAAGTCCCACAGTATTCAAACTCCCGTCTTTTACATCAGCTCAAAGATCATGTTAGCCTTTCTCAAACTAAAAATATTTTTAACTTACCAGATGCCAGACAAGATGAGAAGAAAAAAATCTTGAGAGAATTTCTTGCATCTCAGTCACGTAAAGGAATGGCATCATATCAGAAGTTGGAGCTGTATGGAACATTATATGAAGCTAACGACACCGATCTTATTCAATCCTGCATCAGGGAGATTGATTTCCGTGGCGAATCCTTCACTACAGCAGGAATGCATGTAATGTCATCAGATATACGACGCTGCAACCACCTAACTCTGGTTTGTCTAGCTGACTGCAATCTCAATGCTGAACTGGTTCATATCCTGAAGTCAAATTTAGAAGGTTCCTGTTTGAAGGTAAACTTAATATTGGAAGTTGATAAAAGTATTTCTATTCAAGATAACTAATTGTTCCAACTCGTATCATAGAAATTAGTCCAGCTCAGGTGGTTCTATGTTCTGCCTCAGTGGTTCCCAACCTTTTTGTTGAATTCCTCCCTTCGTCCATTTTAGGACTCCCTGCCTTTGTATAAAAACTACTTTATTTATTCAATCTTCAATGGATCCTCCTATAGTTTCATGCACAATTCACACTCAGGATCTTCTACAGTTTTAGTAGTTTATAATTTGTGCCTAATTTTTATAAGAGTGATTGAGAACTAAAGAATATTAGTACTAAAGCAGTATTCCTCCCCAAGAGCAAAAGAGGAATTCGACAAGAATTGGGCTACCATACCAAAATCATACATCAGATAAACTTGATCATTTCCCATCATGTTAAATAGTCTTACAGTTCTTATTTATTTCAGTTGGATAAACTAGATGTCAATGTCAGTGGCAATGATCTTGGCACTGCTGGTTGGGCTGAAGTTGGATTAGTTGTTACACAATGTCAGGTGAAGGTATTCAAGGCTGAGTATTGCAAACTGACAGCAGAAGGAATGAAAGCTTTCAAGGAAAACACTGGCAATGCAAAGGTGAGTTGAAATCTTTGAGAGTAAAAAGTAACTAGCATAAATGCGTAATTATAAATTGAAAAATCTACAGAAATTGGAGTTGTTAGGGCAGTACATCCAGCTATTGTAGTATGCACGAGTCCATCAGTTGAATCATGACCTACTGGGGACTCGATTGCGGTATATGGCTTGTTAACTCTAAGCCAGTGGTTCTCAATCTTTTTTTTTTCGTTGCGCAAAAATTTTGTGGTTCATCAACTTTCTCAAGCAGAAAAAAACTACAAGTAAAAAAAATTCTCTTTGCAAAGATAAACACTCCTATAATTAAAATAAGAATAAAAAAAAACATCGTCGTCTATTGCTTCTGCATTTGGAGTTTTAACTAAATTTTTTAAGAACTCTAGTAATTTTGCCCCTAAACATGTTTCTGTGTTCCACTTGTTGAGAACTATTGCTCTAAGCCAGGGGTCGGCAGACTGCGGCCCTTGAATGACTTTTAATTCATAAAACGAAAATTGATTCTAAATGCATTGTATCCACATGGATTTATGTGGTAACAAGTGCCGCTTGTTTTATAGCAAGTAGTGTCAGTTGTAAGTCGTTTACTTGATGAACGTCCCATCGTTGGTTGTAATTATTGGTTAAGTTTATTTCGATTTTCAAAATTTGAAAATGTCTGGGAAACGAAGGGAAGTTTGCGACGAGGGCCGAACATTCCAAAGTGCTGCGAAGAAAAAATATTTATTCTTTTCTCGCATTTTGAAACCAGTTTGCTTGATAGGCCAGGTAAGCATCGCGGTTATTAAGGTATTTAATGTTAAACATGTCATTGCAAAAACGAAATTCGACCACAAGCTGCGCCACTGCTCATCTGTGCGACAGTATACAACGTGAAGTGTCTACGTTCGAAACCACATATTGCTGTGAGCAACTTTATCTAAAAGGTATTACACTAAGATTAAATTTCGTACTCGCTTGTCAGATCGTAAATTGGACGACGTACTGCGGGTGCCGCTTTGGCCAGGACACCGAAACAACATCATCCTACACACTGTTAATAATAATTAAATAAAAGCATGTATTGTTCGTTAAAATATATTTTAACACAACAATAGAAGGTGGGAGAGTGCGCCATAATTTGAAGGTAAATATAGCGATTGTTTATAGGCGTTTTATGCGGCCCGTAAGCTACCGAAAAAGTGGATATTTAGCCCGCAACTACATAAAGTTTGCCGATCACTGCTCCAAGCTATCTGCCCCATAGTATAATCATCGCATAGGGATTGATTCAGCTTCAAATAAGCCCATAGAATGGATTTTTATTGGAGAATCTCTAGCAGTAAAGCAATTTCTTCTTTATAGTAGTCATTTGAGCACTGCAAGTTTTAGCTTCCTGCTTTAGTAGATATCCATTTCGGTCATTTCATTTATTTCCTCCCACAGCTGTTCTGCTTGAGATTTTTTATTACTGGTTAATCAATTGCTTTGTTCAGGTTCTCACCATGTTAAATAGTCTTAAATTCCTATTTATTTCAGTTGGGACTGAATAAAGCAGATATTATTATCAAAAATACGGTAATTTGAAAGTCCCTGTTAATGCGTTATGTTGATATGTTGTTGATCTCCCTTTGATACTAAGTTGTGAAATACAAAAAAAGCTATAAAAAAACATTAAATTATCATTAATGTGAGAGCGCCAAAAACACACAGTCCATACTAAGGCAACTGCAATTTATGTGGCCGCACTTGGTAGGGCGCGTTAATTAATGGTGTAAAATAAATTTAACGACTATCAATTATAATCAAGCATGTCAGCGTGTTTATTTTCTGCGGGCAAGACTCGTAAAAAATTCATCTTTCGCGATATAACTTTGTATTTTCAAAACGGGGTGTCAGAAAAAGTAAAATTTGATATAAATAAAACTCAAATACTGTTTTATTTTAAATGTAACGAAACGCATATTTGCAATATACCTTTGTATTTCCAAAAACGGGCGTCGAGAAAAGTATTAAGCGAATAGTATTTTATCTAACGTGTAACGTCTGGTACACATTATTTCCCGGGAGAACTCTAAGCCCGCAAAAAGTCATTTAATTTAATATAGAGAATGTTTCACATATTTCAAAATCGCCGAGGGCATCGTCAATTCGGTAAAAGTACTTGTACCCATGTTATTGTTCAACTTCATATATTCGCACGAAAATATTTGTAAACTTCGAATTTTTGCCCCTTAAAATCGAAAAAAGTGCGATTTTGCAGTCCCTAAAAAACTGTTCCCAATAAATGCGCTAATAATGAACACTTCCTGGTACACAGAATAATTATAGGAAATATCACTGATCCCTGCTCTTCCCCATATTTGGAACCGCAGTGATGAGCCTACTTTTTATATATTGTCTGATATATTGACCTTTTTTCAAATTCTTAGGATTTTTGCTTTTGCTAGCGATTTGGATTGTTTTCTTTACATTTTCACCATGTTAAATATTCTTACAGTTCTTATTTATTTCAGTTGGATAAACTAGATGTCAGTGAAAACAAGGATCTTGGAACTGCTGGTTGGGCTGAAGTTGGATTAGTTGTTACACAATGTCAGGTGAAGGTATTCAAGGCTAAGTATTGCAATCAGACAGCAGAAGGAATGAAAGCATTCAAGGAAAACACTGGCAATGCTAAGGTGAGTTGAAATCTTTGAGAGTAAAAAGTAACCAGCATAATTGCGTAATTATAAATTGAAAAATCTACAGAAATTGGTCAGTACATCCAGCTATTGTAGTATGCACGAGTCCATCAGTTGAATCATGACCTACTGAGGACGCGATTGTGGTATATGGCTTGTTAACTCTAAGCCAGTGGTTCTCAATCTTTTTTCTTGCGTTGCACAAAAATTTTGTGGCCTATCAACTTTCAGTTTTGTGGCCCATTAACTTTCAGTTTTGTGGCCCATTAACTTTCAGTTTTTTGTCCATTAACTTTCAATTTTGTGGCCCAATAAACTTTTAATTTTGTGGCCCATCAACTTTCAGTTTTGTGGCCCATTAACTTTCAGTTTTGTGGCCCATTAACTTTCAGTTTTTTGTCCATTAACTTTCAATTTTGTGGCCCATTAACTTTTAATTTTGTGGCCCATTAACTAAATCAACTTTCAGTTTTGTGGCCCATTGGCTTTCAGTTTTGTGGCCCACTGGCTTTCAGTTTTGTGGCCAATTAACTTTCAGTTTTGTGGCCCATTAACTTTCAGTTTTTTGTCCATTAACTTTCAATTTTGTGGCCCATTAACTTTTAATTTTGTGGCCCATGAACTTTCAGTTTTGTGGCCCATTAACTTTCAGTTTTGTGGCCCATTAACTTTCAGTTTTTTGTCCATTAACTTTCAATTTTGTGGCCCATTAACTTTTAATTTTGTGGCCCATTAACTGAATCAACTTTCAGTTTTGTGGCCCATTGGCTTTCAGTTTTGTGGCCCATTGGCTTTCAGTTTTGTGGCCCATTAACTTTCAGTTTTGTGGCCCATTAACTTTCAGTTTTTTGCCCATTAACTTTCAATTTTGTGGCCCATTAACTTTTAATTTTGTGGCCCATCAACTTTCAGTTTTGTGGCCCACTAACTTTCAGTTTTGTGGCCCATTAACTTTCAGTTTTTTGTCCATTAACTTTCAATTTTGTGGCCCATTAACTTTTAATTTTGTGGCCCATTAACTGAATCAACTTTCAGTTTTGTGGCCCATTGGCTTTCCGTTTTGTGGCCCATTAACTTTCAATTTTGTGGCCCATTAACTTTCAGTTTTGTGGCCCATTTGTGTCCGCAACAAGTTGATACCAGTATAATTGAATTGTTATGATATACTCGTGCCTAAAATATGATAATAATGTAACTATTGATCTTGAACGAAAAAGGAAGTGTTGAAACTTCACAATCAAGTTCGGCGGGCCATGTTATATTTTACGTGGGCCGTAATTGGATCGTAGGCTGCGGTTTGGCAACCACTGGATTAACAAGAAAAGCTAAAGACATTTATGGCATCATACAACCCTGCAAAACCCAACCCACGAAAGAGTCTGGCTAAAATTTTTATTATTAAAATTTAACTTCCGTTTATTGAACATTTTTAATTAAAACAAACAAACAAAATTTCCCAATGATTGCAGATATTGGTACATCTAAGTATTTATTTTCTTTCTTGTGCCATCTTTTGATGGTGCGACGGGTTCCCATCGATATATACGACACTAAAAGAGTGGCTGCCCTGTTATCATACCGAGTCACTGCGGACATTTTACCGAGCCTTTCAATGGTATAATCATAAGCACTTCTTCTTCAAGTCCTTCTCATCGACCATCTTCATGTTTCCAATTCGGTTTTTGCACCGTAACTACTTAATGTATTCCAGCATCCATCAGTTTTCCTTACGAAGGAACGCTCGTAAAAAGGTTGCCAAAATGCTTATAATTACAATTATCTGGTAAGGTTTCTACCAATTTCAAAACCATTTCGCAACGTGACGAAGTTCACTTTTATTTCCATCGCCACCCTGGTACACAGAATAATCATTGAAAATACCACTGATCCCTGCTCTTCCCCATATTTTGAACCCCAGGGATAAGGGGAATTTGAAAAAAAAAGCTGTGCCCTACACGAATATTCCATTCAAGACTCTACTTGGATTTGGGAGATCAGTGTATTGGTACCTACTAGAGATCTATCTACAATATTGTCCATTTTTTCAGTATCAAATAAAAGCCAAACTAACTTGGCTACTTCCGCTACCAAAATTTTATATTAAGAAAAAAGCAATCAGATATTGGTGGATTTTTAAACCAAATATAATGCTACAGAGGCACAAAATCCTGCACAATCCATTCAATGTATTTTTTTAACAGGATAAGTGAACATCTTCATGACGTCATACACTAAACAAAACATTCAGCATTCAGGGCTTGAAATGAGCATATGACATCTGAACGAGTTTGGTTTACGCATTAATAGGAGTTAAACTCATAAAATAGATGAACATCAATGCCTTGCATTTTGCTATTAAGATATAACATTGGATTATAGCTGGCGAACCGGCATGATGGTTGACGCACCCGGCGGTTGAGGCTTTTATCTATGAATATTCCATCATCTAGGACACTGGTTCCCAACCTTTCTAACCTGGCGGACTGGTAAAATTAAATAAAATGTACTCGCGGACCGGCAAAAATTTAAATGAATGGAACAGAAAATAATAACATATATTTGCATAATGTCGGGCAATCACTACGCTTTGAGAAAAAAAGGTACACTTAAAAACATTTCACATGTGGAAAAACTATCAAATAGTGGCCGGCCAAAAATTGGAATGGTTGGAACATAAAATAATACCATATATTTGCGTAATAACATGCAGTGGGCACCCACTATGATTAAAAAAAAGCCCACACCTCACATAAAAAAACATGTACACACACAATTAACTCCAGTGAGAATTTTGCCGTTCGTTTCCAATACAGGATTGCAAACGAGGCATCAAAAAAAGGTTTCGCAACACAAAGCTCTTCAGCGGCTCACAGTCAATTTATTTGCTTCGTTTTAATTAAAGCTAGAAGTAACTGGTTGAAAATCCGGACAACTGTTTGTTGCTTGATTACTTAGCGATGGGTATTCGTTATCAAGAGAGCTCAAGAATGAATTGTGACAATGATTTTTTATAAATCTGGACTGTAAAGTTAAGGTTTCATCGGGTTCATCATATCACAATCCCTCTGCAGTTGATCGACGCCCCAAACAAAATTAATTTATATTGCAATTATAAAGTCGTTGCTAACTTGGCACCAGGGTCAAAATCCTGCTGTGCATCACCCGAAAAAGATCTCAACGGCCCATGCTTTTGTTGTATGTCTCGTGACCACCTGCAAGGTCACAATAAGTTCATATCTCGCTGGGTGTTACGGCTCTGGAATATTATACTGGTCCTGACAGTTTTCTGGTTTAAACAAAGAAAGAAATACTCATAACCTTTTATATGGATGGTAATATCAATGCAAAACGCAAAAAGCATGCATGCTGATTTTCAGGTTTGTGAATCTTGCGATATTTGATGGAAAGCTTTCGCTATGAATAGGAACCGAAAAAGTAAAAGTGTGATTACTCGGCGCCAAGACGTCGCCAGGCCATCAATTCCGCACTTATCAAACACCAATATGACGGCGGAAGAGAGATTCATAATAAATCAACGTAACTTCGACTTCTTAATCAAGAAAAGCATGCATGCTGATTTGTGGGTTTCTGAATCTTGCGAGATTTGACGGAGCGCCTTCGCGATGAATCGGAACCGAAATAGTCAAAAACGTGATTACTCGGCGCCAAGCCGTTGCAGGGCCATACCGCACCTATCAAACAGCAAATGACGGCGGCTTCCTCGGCTGTACGCTGCGGATGCCTTGCTAGGCTAACTTGCTACGTTGCTAGGCTGCCGAAACGTGTGAGCAATCTTAACCGTGAATGGAAATCCCCCACACCAAATACACCATCCAGATTGTGACGCATCGTTTTGTCTGACTTTTTTGCAGTGCTTCTGTTTTGCTTCAATATACTCCAGCATAGCCGCCAAATCCTATATTTTGAACTTTTTTATTTTTGTTTATAGGATGTTGTATGTGGACGGCCGCATTATTTTTTCCCAATGGCCGCAGGTTGTGCACCGTTGGTATAAGGGGTTGAAATTTTTTTTTGCTTGGTGGAAACATGTTTGCCTTATATGCCTTGTTAACTCTAATTAAGCCAAGACCGCCCCATAGCTAGCGTTGCAGAAAACAAACTACCGGTAGGTAATCATCTCATAGGGATTGGTTCAGCTTCAAACAAGACTATAAAATGAATTCTTACTGGAGAATCTCTGGCAGTAAAGCAATTTCTTCTTTATTGAAGTCATTTGAGCACTGCAAGTTTTAGCTTCCTGCTTTAGCGTCAGTGGATATCTATTTTGACCACTTTATTCATTTCTCCCACAGCTGTTCTGCTTGAGATTCTTTAATACTGGTTAATCAATTGCTTAGTTCAGGTTCTCACCATGTTAAATTGTCTTACATTTCTTATTTATATCAGTTGGATGAACTAGATGTCAGTTACAACAAGGATCTTGAACCTGCTGGTTGGGCTGAAGTTGGATTAGTTGTTACACAATGTCAGGTGATGGTATTCAAGGCTGAGTCTTGCAATCTGACAGCAGAAGAAATAAAAGTATTCAAGGAAAACACTGGCAATGCAAAGGTGAGTTGAAATCTTTGAGAGTAAAAAGTAACCAGCATAAATGTGTAATTATAAATTGAAAAATCTGCAGAAATTGGAGTTGTTAGGGCAGTACATCCAGCGGTCGTAGTATGCACGAGTCCATCAGTTGAATTTAAAAAAAAAGGCTGTGCCCTACACGAATATTCCATTCAAGACTCGACTTGGATTTGGGAGATCAGTGTATTGGTACCTACTAGAGATCTATCTACAATATTGTCCATTTTTTCAGTATCAAATAAAAGCCAAACTAACTTGGCTACTTCCGCTACCAAAATTTTATATTAAGAAAAAAGCAATCAGATATTAGTGGATTTTTAAACCAAATATAATGCTACAGAGGCACAAAATCCTGCACAAGCCATTCAATGTATTTTTTTAACAGGATAAGTGAACATCTTCATGACGTCATACACTAAACAAAACATTCAGCATTCAGGGCTTGAAATGAGCATATGACATCTGAACGAGTTTGGTTTACGCATTAATAGGAGTTAAACTCACAAAATAAATGAACATCAATGCCTTGCATTTGCTATTAAAATATAACATTGGATTATAGCTGGCGAACCGGCAGGATGGTCGACGCAGACCGGCAGTTGAGGCTTTTATCTATGAATATTCCATCATCTAGGACACTGGTTCCCAACCTTTCTAACCTAAAAAGGTTTCGCAACACAAAGCTCTTCAGCGGCTCACAGTCAATTTATTTGCTTGGTTTTAATTAAAGCTAGAAGTAACTGGTTAAAAATTCGGACAACTGTTTGTTGCTTGATTACTTAGCGATGGGTATTCGTTATCAAGAGAGCTCAAGAATGAATTGTGACAATGATTTTTTATAAATCTGGACTGTAAAGTTAAGGTTTCATCGGGTTCATCATATCAATCCCTCTGCAGTTGATCGACGCCCCAAACAAAATTAATTTATATTGCAATGATAAAGTCGTTGCTAACTTGACTCCAGGGTCAAAATCCTGCTGTGCATCACCCGAAAAAGATCTCAACGGCCCATGCTTTTGTTGTATGTCTCGTGACCACCTGCAAGGTCGCAATAAGTTCATATCTCGCTGGGTGTTATGGCTCTGGAATATTATACTGGTCCTGACAGTTTTCTGGTTTAAACAAAGAAAGAAATACTCATAACCTTTTATATGGATGGTAATATCAATGCAAAACACAAAAAGCATGCATGCTGATTTTCAGGTTTGTGAATCTTGCGAGATTTGATGGAGAGCTTTCGCTATGAATCGGAACCGAAAAAGTAAAAGTGTGATTACTCGGCGCCAAGACGTCGCCGGGCCATCAATTCAGCACTTATCAAACACCAATATGACGGCGGAAGAGAGATTCATAATAAACCAACGTAACTTCGACTTATTAATCAAGAAAAGCATGCATGCTGATTTGTGGGTTTCTGAATCTTGCGAGATTTGACGGAGCGCCTTCGCGATGAATCGGAACCGAAATAGTCGAAAGCGTGATTTTTCGGCGCCAAGATGTCGCAGGGCCATACCGCACCTATCAAACATCAATATTTTCGGCTTCGGTAAAGCGATTGATACGGTAGATAAGCAAGAGAATGTAATTTCCTGCGGACCGGCAAAAAAGCTTCGCGGACCGGCGGTTGGGAACCACTGCTCTAGGACAGATTTATTAACTTGCGTTGTTGTTTGTGATTTTAAAATGAAAAACTTAATATTTTCAGATAAAGTTACTGGATCTGAGTTGGAACAAAGTCAGGGAACTCGGAGATGAAGGATTATCTACACTCAGTGAAATTGTTCATCAATGTCAGGTTGAAACATTGAAGATGGAAAATTGCAACCTCAACAAGGATCAGTTGGAAAGATTCAAAGCATTGATCGCTGATACCGGGGTCGAGTTCAATGCTAGTAGAATCCACAAACAATGAATTGAATAATCCATGTCACCGGGAATAAGTCATTCAAGCTTTAATTTTATTCAACTGCAACTGGTTCATTTCTATTAACGAAATCAGTTTCATAGTATTAATTGTTTCCTCTCAATACAAGGCTCAAGCAAGCATCCATTTATACATATGAATCTGCCACAATGCTTAAAGATCAGACACCCTGAACATATCAGGACTCTAGTTTGTGATTTATACAATGTTTCCAACTAAATCTCTCTTCAAGCATTTCATTTTGATTGAAAATATTTTTGCATCATATTCCCTGTTAACAGAATTAAAAGTTCATTCCCTTTTAAAGCTAAAGGAGGTATCCATTCAAGCATAGGGATCCACTCTTCCTAGGATTTGTACCTGTTTACCTAATATATTAAACTAAGTGAAATAATGAGCCGAATCAACCTGGTCTCGAACCAATGATCTCAGGGTTCACTTGCTGATATTATGTTAACAACCATGTCCTGAATTAGAACTCAAGTATAACCCAAACCCCCAAGTAATAGGATTTGTACAATATGTTACTCCGCCTATTCGATGCTCACATTTTGATGTCACACACATTTCTTGCATATTCCTAGTGTTTACTTTTTCCTTATCCACCCTAATGATGATTCTAGTTCAGCGGTGGGCAAGGTTTTCGAACCCGGGGTCAAAAATTTTACCCACTTAGACTGGGGGCCATGTAAGTGT